TTTTCGTTTATCATTCCATTGAGATCATAGGCCTACATATGGCAGATTAGGTTTTTCGTTTATCAATCTATTGAGATCATAGGCCTACATTTGTTAGATTAGGCTTTTCGTTTATCATTCCATTGAGATCAAAGGCCTACATTTGTTAGATTAGGCTTTTCGTTTATCATTCCACTGAGATCATAGGCCTACATTTGTTAGATTATGCTTTTCGTTTATCATTCCATTGAGATCATAGGCCTACATTCGGCAGATTATGCTTTTCGTTTATCATTCCATTGAGATCAAAGGCCTACATTTGTTAGATTAGGCTTTTCGTTTATCATTCCATTGAGATCATAGGCCTACATTCGGCAGATTATGCTTTTCGTTTATCATTCCATTGAGATCAAAGGCACTACACTCAGGAGATTAGTCTTTTTGTTTATTGCTCCATTAAGATCAGGCTTACAATTCGGCAGATTAGGCTTTCCTTTTATCATTCCATTGAGATCATAGGTCTACATTCGGCAAGTTACGCTTTTCGTTTATCATTCCATTGAGATTATAGGCCTACATTCGACAGATTAGGCTTTTAGTTTATCACTCCATTAAGATCATAGGCTTACATTCGGCAGAATACGCTTTTCGTTTATCATTCCATTGAGATCATATGCCTACGTTCGGCAGATTAGTCTGAATACTAAAGAGCAGAAATCACACTTACAAACATGGTATTGACTCGTAGTGGTCACCAACCACTGATTATTTTCGATTTAACTTTGTTCAACAAAATTTTTTACGATGAAAAGTTTAAGTTTTCCCAAATTCGAGCATAGGAATATTTTAGTATTATCCGATTTACCGTTATATAAGTTTTAAACTAGATATTAGGTGGTATTTTTCACCCTGCAGAGTATGCTTTTGATCCATATATGCCACAGCACAAAACAATCGCAAAATGGTGGAGTCAAAAAATTGTCCTCAAAAAAAAAAAAACTCCGTTGTGCATTGCGGTATCCTACAATCATAGAAATATCGATTGTTATTTAATAAATGGTAGTAATAAAATTAAATGAATGAATGATTGATTGAATGAATGACATTGTACTAAACACACAGAGAGAATTAAAAGAATCGATAAAATTAAAAAAAAAATTAATTTATTAATCCATAGGTCAAGTATAAATCCATAATATTACATAATATTCCATTTCTTAGTTACCCCATTACACAATCTTAAAAAAAGGTAATACAATAATTTAATACCGGTAGGCCTACTCACATCAATGCCAATGATTAAATATTAAATATAATTGCTATTAAATAGCAAGCCAAATTACAATAAATTACTCATATTCGTATAGGGCCTATCAAATATAAATTTCAATTTGAATATGTAAACCGACGCAGCGGTAAAAAACAAAAACAAAACAAAACAAAAAAACACACAAAATATGTTAATGCAAACATCTTGATAAAAGAAAATGTACCATACATGATGCGTATAACATTTTGCATAGTAATGCCTAGGGCCAAAGACCCGATAGATATAAAAAACCTATGAACTTAGGCCTAACTGTTTTAGTAGTTTCCACTCGTCATTAAACTGTTCTATTCTATCATGTATCGATTCCATATATTCTTCTAATCTTATGTTACGTTTTACAAAATTTACCAATCATAAATTTGACGGTTTAACAGAACCATCTTGATTTGTAGATTAAAAAAATGTTACTAAAATGATACGATCAAGTTCAAAGTTCACCATAAACTTAGTTCAATACTGAATATTCATCGACTGAAGTGCAATAATCATTTGATGTTGACTAAAATACAATAATTAATAACGACTGAAGTGCAATAATCATTGTTGACTTAAATACCATGATTGATACCATGCCCATCCATGCCGAAACATGTTTAACTTTAAACGTATTCCCAAAAGCGGAAAAAAACTGTTAATTACATAAAATAAGCAATAGTAAACAAGGTGAAGAAAATTTTGTGAGGTTTCACGTTAGCTTTAAACGTGTCAACAAAAAAGTTTAGCTTTAAACGTGATACCAAAATCGGGGAAGGATTGTTAATTACAAAAAATAAACAATAGCAAACGAAAATCAGAACAATTTTTACATAAATCTAGTTTACCAACCGAAAACACATTAGCTATAAACGTGTCACCAAACACGTTTCGTGTAATTGAAATCGGGTCAAGATTGTTAATTAGGCTACATAAGCAATAGTAGGCCTAAACGTGGTGAAGAAAATTATGTCAAATTCTATCTACATTCAACAACCTAAACGTATTAGTTTTAAACGTGTCACCAAAAGCGGGGAAATGTTCTTAGGCCTAATTATATCAAAGAAACAATAATAAAAGAGGTGAAAAAAAATCAGGTCAGATTTCACCTAAACTCAACAACCTAAACATAAAAAACAAAAACAATACCAGTTTAATAATATAAAAATTTGTTTCTATAGGCAAAAATATTAAACTAATGCATTATATAAATAATAGTCCTACTTAATAAATAAAAAAAAATGACGAACTATGCCCAAACTATATTTCTATATGCTTTGTATTCATTATAAAAATTGTATAATACTTTCCGCCAATTAAACAAGTTTTTTTGTATTGACATAATATATAAGGTAAATATCAAGCCGAATAATATAAGCGAGCGGACTTAAAGACAACTTGATTTCTTGCTTCGAATAAGGTATCCATTTGTATAAGTCTTATGAAGATATGCCTATCTAATAATGACCTTAGTGCGATCGGGACCAAAAATACATCCGACTTCAAAATAAGCGTAAGTGATGAACTATCCCCATAGTTTTTATAGACCCTACTTTATATTTTGCATAGACGCCATTGTAGGACGACAGGTATTTCGAATCGGATTTTACTGTTTATTGGCTGTTTTGGTTGGTAGGCCCTATGTGAATAATATAAATTGACAGTAAATTGATCGCGTAAATGGAATACCAGTTTGAAAGTTATAATTGAAAGACAAGAAGCATACGGTACATTTTCATTCCTCTAACTGTGTTAATGCGCCTCTACATGCGAGTATCTGCACCCATATTTTCTTCACCGTGTACTGAAAAAAAAAATTACACAAAGCTATGAAATTTCGATTCGGTAATATAAATAATTGTTTTATATCAACACGTAAGAAAAATAATATATCTATGCATTACATATTCATAATTATCACATATCCATATTCATAATTATTAGGCCTATTTTTGATGTGAGAGTAATGCAAAAGCAGTCTAAGCCCCGTTTACACTAGACACGATTACGACACGACAACGACACGATACAGATGCGCGCAGTGTTGAAGAATACAAACTACGCGATGATATGTCGTTGTCGTGTCTAGTGTAAATGGGGCTTAAGTATGCAAGGGATTCAAATCACTGAGAAGAAAACAAAGAGAACATAGGCCTACTATACTGAAAGTAACCAAAAACTGAACCCCCACCTAAAAATTTACTTACTGTCTTCATTTTTCCCAAACTTGCACGAAGGTGCTGGGAATGTTGGGCAGAATGGTAGATATGAAAAAAAGGCTTTCTTGCGAATGAAACCCATGCCGAACGGGAAATCGTATGTCTTCATTGAAAATGAAGTTTCTTCAGTTGTTTCGCCAGCTTTTGATAAAGTAAGACGCCATTTTGTTATCCCACGTTCCTCATCGGTTCCTGTACAAAGGTGAGAATACCATAGTATTATTGGTATAAGTATAGATTAAAATTATATTGATTATCTATAGGCCTATGTTATAAAATACGCATTCGTATAAAAAAAATATATATATAAAAAGTACACAAGTAAAAAGTTCAAATCATTTGGAGTAGAGTGCTCAATAAAAAAAAAAATCGAAAAAAAAATTGGCTAATATACTAAGTGTAATACACAAATGATGAAG